GGCATTTCTTTGGCATAATTTGCGTCTTTTTGTGCGTTAGAAACATCAATGTTCATTTAGAAATTACATATTTGTTCAATACTTAATGCCAACCAACGATTAAAGCAATAAGATGACAGAATAAGATGAATGTACCAGATGATAGATATATGTTCCCAAACAAGCAAAGGAATTTTTACAGCACAATCCGCGTCCGGTTGTGCGTTAGAAACTTCAATGATTATTCAGAAATCACATACTTGCTCAATACTTAACGCCAATTAATGATCGCAGCTATAGGATGGTGGAATAAGATTAATGCACCAGATGATAGAAATATGTTCCCAAACAAGAAAGCGAATTTCTACAGCACTATCCGCGTCCGGAAGTGAGTAGAAAATACCCTTTTTTGTTTAGAAATCATATATTCATGTAATCTTGCACAATTATCTTTCGTGGCTAGCTTTTATAAGCGATCACTATAACAGGTCACTATAAAGTGACAAGATAATATTACTTGGCTAAGGGATAAAGACACGTTCTTCAGCTAAAAAATAACACTTGTACTGCCCTATCCGCATTCAATTTTAGGACTTAAACATCCATGTTTATTTATGGACTATATGTTTGCCATCTCGCAAAATCATCTTCAGTCTTCAGCTTCAGCGACAGACCTTCAAAGCACTTCAGCGACTATGTACCCTATGATGATAGGATAAAATGATTATGCTAAATAATAGGGATGTGTTCTTTGATAAATAAGGACATTTCATCAGCACAATCCGCGTCCGGCTGTGCGTCGCAAAGGTCCGTGTTTATTTTAAGACCATATTCCTGTCATTTCGCACAATAATCTTCAGTGTCCAGCTTCAAACAGTGATCCCAGCTATTGAGCACCATACGAAGACAAAATAAAATTCTTAGACTAGATGATAGTAACATATTCTTTAAATAAATATTGTCATTTCCAGAGTCCAATCCACGTCTGGCTGGGCTTTGTAAATGTCCATGTTTATTCACAGATTATGTTCGCGTCGTTTTGGAGCAAACATTTGATTTTATTATCTTATGGTACACTATTATTATGATCAACATGCATCATCTTGGCACTTTCTAGAAATTTAGCATAAAATATAAAGCATCCAGGTTGTGTAAAATTTAATGAATGTAATAAAAATGTATCATATACATTCAGTTACTATTTACAATCCCCGTTAATTAAAGTTCTTTAGATCTACTTGGGTAGAAATAATAACAATAAAAAAATCATACATATTTTATTTTCTTGTAAAGGAATTACATTACCAAAAAGTTTTAAAAAGCTGATTTTTTTAATAAATTGTAGGTATATCTTCACCGAAAGTAAAATGTAGAAAGAATTATTTCAATAAATGGCATTTTGATGAAAAATTACGGAGCAATTTTTTTGAATTCTTTTTGTAGAATGAAATAACAAAAACTGAGACTCAATTTCGAACCTATATCATATTGTATAATTGACAATATTTCGCCAAAAAGTATTTCCATTAAAGATATTTACACAACGAATATTTATCATAGTGCTTTCTTTGTTTGTATAAATGCTGTTAAGAAAGAACTGGAATGTTAGTTAATCACTAGATTTCTTTACGTCTGCTTCATTTTTTTAAGAAAAAATATTTTTTTCCCGAAAAATATTTTCGAAGGTTTTTAAACTGATTTTTTACGAACAACGTAAGTTTTCGATAACAGCACAAGTAACGAAATAGCTTATTAAAAAAAAAAGTAGGTTGGGGGAGTAAAATTTATCAAAATTTGAAAATATTTAGAAGTAAAAAAGTCAAAATAACTGATTCAGTTATAACTGGTTGGTGCGTTTAACGCAGTTTTAAAGCAGATCAGTTGATCTATAGGATGTGCGTTCCAGTCAAACATACAATCCTTACAGCTATAGTCAAGGCGTTATTAGCACTTTTTACATAATTGTAATAGTCTGGTAAAGTACTTGTTAAGAATTATAAATAAAATTGATAGCAAATAAAGAATAATGTAAGAATCAGTTTCATCCGTAAGCAGGCAGTTCCCGAACAAACAATATAAAATTCTTTTCACAGTATTAACATTAACTAGAATACAGAACATTTCAATGTTAACAACTTTGCAATTTCAATAGGATATTTATTAACAACTACAATCATCAAACATTAGTGTGTGGCATTGCTTAACTTATCCTTCAATCATTAACTTCGTTTTTGTACCCTGTACAACTAACAACGATATCGAGGCAAGCTATTCGTCTTCGATAAGTTGTCAGTTGCTTGGGTACAAGACTCTCACTGTTGCCACCTTTCAGTGGGGAAAAAGGCTTTTAGAATAAATTTTTTTATAATATCGTTTGGAACAATAAGTTCAAAGGCAAATTTCTACAAGGCTTAGTATAATCATTTTTTATACCGCATTTGGTGAAACGCTTAAGAAAGACAAAAAGAGAAAATTTTTCTCTCATTTTAACATGTAATGATTTAAGTGTTAACCATAGAGTCATAAAAAGGATAAGGATATATCTATATTTACAATATCATAAAGAAAAATATCGTAATTCTTTAAAACACAATAAAGTTTGGCATGTTAAAGTAATAATTACATTATAAGGAATGTTTGGTATCAGCATCATCAAAGTTCATTTTTGATTCACCAATTATCATAGAGTAATGATAAATTTTTTAAATTTTATGATGATTTTTTTCTAACCTAATAATTGGACAACCCGAAAGTATTGGAGGAAATTTTGAATATGTTTAATCATGAATAGTACAAAATCATTTGAATACAGAGTAATCTATATACATAATGCAAATACTTTTCTAGTAATGGCTATGGGCTTGTACTTCATAGCGAATTGGTAGAAAATCTGGAATCTATATTCGGCAATTTGTTTCTTCACACGCAAATGTAACAAGCAAGCTACGTCACAGTAACCAGCAGAGATGACGTACTCTCTTCCCTACAATTCATTTTATTATTAAATTTATCTACAATAAATGGCAACAGTTTCAATTCTAAAATCTATATGGTTAACGGAGTTTATAAAATATTTCTAGTCTGATCCCAGGAATATTTTGTAATTTTGTATTCTTCGCGGTAACTGTTCTGAATATGATTTTAAACAGTTATTTATTATGAAAAACCATAGATGGGTATAGATTTAACATCATTTTTTTTGAAAAAATAATTGCATATGTAACAAAAAAAGAACACAACATTTATGTTTTCAAAAAACCCTTTCACCTTTTCTCCAGCAACTGAAAGACATGTGGTTTAAGCAACCAATATCTTCGTTCAAATAAGAGCACTTTCGAAATATTTCGTTTATTTTTCTGGCAAATAATGATGAATATTTTTTTAATCATAACTCACCAGAAAAAAGGATAACATATTAAATTTCCTAAAAAATAAAAAATAAGCTTAATATTAACTTTATCACATTTTGAGATATTTCTAGTTTGTGCCTTGTCATGAGCGCAATTTCATGGAATTTTTTAATTTTTTTTTATTTGAGCTTATTCCGTTTAAAAGCTCGAAAATATTTGATATGAGCTCCACAATTTGAGCTCCAATTTATCTGATTTAAGCTCCACTCAATCTGATCTGTGCTCCATCTAATCTGATCTGAGTTCCACTTACTCTTAACTTTCCTGTCAATCTGATTCGAATCTTGTTTCAAAGATCTAAAAGATATGATATGAGCTCTAATTTAACTGATCTGAGCTCCTTTTAAACTGATCAGAGCTCAATTTTATTTTAGCTCCACTCAATAAAATCTGAGCTCCACTTAATCTAATCTTAGCTCAACTCAATCTAATCTGAGCTTAATTCAATGTGATCTTAGCACCTATTTATTTTAATTCCCCTCAATATGGTTTGTTCAATCTGTTATGAGCTCCACTCAATTAATTCTGAGCTCCACTTTATGTAATAAGAGCTCAACTCAATCTGATCTTAGAACCTGTTAATCTGATTTGAGCTCCAATTTATCTGATCTTAGCTCCACTCAATAATGCCTGAACTTCGTTCAATCTAATCTGAGCTCCACTCAATTTGACCTGAGTTCCATTTAATCTCCCCCAGGTTTTTTTTAAAGCAATCGATAAATGGTAAATAAACTGAAATTTTCAAAATTACGCAAATGATTGTAGAAATATGTCAAAATAATGACACGAAATTTAGAAAAAATTACCCACCTAAGAAAAAAAATTACGTCACCTTATTATATTGATAAAAAGATTAATTTAACTTTCAAAATACTTTAAAAAAATTAAATATTAACATTTTTATATGGGTTCGTAAAGATTAAATTGATTTAAAGGAGTTCCTAGAACATTGTAAGATCAGAAATTTGTGAGAGTGATTTTTTTTTTTTTTAGTATTTTTTAAAATTTTTCTTTTGTAAAAGGGAATAAATATGAAAAAGCTAGACCCTCCTTCTGTGCTAAGCACAAAATGAGGTTAATAAGTTGTATGCATGCATACTCTTTTTTTTTTTACTGTTTTAGTATTTAAAAATGCGTTTCAAGATTCTGACCTTAATTTTGAAGACTTTTCTTTTTAACGAATTTCTCTTCATAAATAGTTTTAATTAATCAATACGTTGGAAAGGGAAATAATTTTTCTTTCAGGTTAATAATGCAGAATAGTTTAGGAATTTGAATGATTGCAATGATTTAAATTTGTCTCAAAGTTAACCTACGTATGGGAAATAATTCTACAGAAAACACCGGTATCAATAACTAGAGTCAAGAAAATGGAAGGCATATGATATTCTGCATATACTTGGTTTGGGGAAGGCAACCACTGGTTTCTTCTTCTTTGTTTTAAAACAACAGCAGTCAGCGCCATCTGTAAATGGCACTCGGTGCCTTCATAGGCTCCTTTTGGCGAAGAAATCAATAAATAAATACTTAATAAGTAGATAAAGTATAAACCATTTAAAGTTGTTTATTTCTAGTTCTCATATGACGTTTTTTTTTTTTTGGCTTATATCAAAATAATTTGGGGTAATAAATAAATAATTTCTATAAGCTACTTGGAAACGCCTTGATTGACTTCGTTTAACGTGACTCGAACAATAATAACTTAAGAACAAACAAACATAATAACCAAAAATGTCTTATTGTAGAACACACCATCACAGTTATTTTTTTTGTAATAAAATGATTAATATAATCAAATCCACTTTTAAACTAATCGATAGATTTTGTTTTGATGTAGTAAAAAGGAAAAATACTGTAGCTTTTGAAGTGTGGCACATTCTTTTGTGCCGAACTTCAAACGAACCTCCTTAGTCAGTATCGTTGGCTCCATTCAAATGGCAATGGATGAATTGGGCGAAAAACTTGGCTCCTTCCTTGGCGAGGGTCAGCTCCAAAGTCTTTATAATTAATAGAATAATTTATTAAGCTTGAAAGACCTTTGGTACACATCTTCTCATGTATCCAGCCTGGAAACCAATATGGTTTTATGAAACTGGAAGCTGAACCAAGAGTTAAGTTTTATAATAGAAGATTAATAAGGAATCAATTATATAAAATAATACATATTTAAGATATATAACACATTTATCAGCACACATAAGATTCAATAAATCTAAAGACATAATAATTAGTAACCAAAGCATTTATGTTAAGAAAATGCTCCGCTATGACTATTCTTAATGAAATTTTGCAGAATAATTGTTAAAAATTAGTACAAAAAGTGCAAATTAGTATTAAAGCGAGGAAACAACACAAATGTTATCTAAATCTTAAAAAAATATTATCTATGGAGGGAGGCACTAAAAACATTAAAATCAGTTTGATTACATAAAAGCTTGTTCACACATAAACCCCTTTCAATTCTTCTGTTCTATTGGCAATCAAACAAGCTTTAATTTTTCAAATTCCATTCTGTCTCCATTGTGATTCTTTAGAATTGATGGCGTTTTTTACCCGTGTTTAATGACACATTATGGGTATGTATTGATTTCATGTTTCCAATTTGTATATTTCTATATGTCACGTCTACTGAAAGTTTATCTTAAGAGTGATCATTACGAAACCAACTGCAAAATTTCGGAAGAATCATTAAATAAATTAAATAACATGAAGGCAATATTTGACAACATCAATAGTTGTTATAAGAACTATTTGCTATATTTGCTGAGGTATGCTCGTTATTAATATGAAATTTTGACGTGTGGTAATTGTGTGAATTTGAAGCACTAAAAGCAAATAATTAAATAACAATTTATTAAAAAGCAAAAACGATAATTTAATCAACAAATGAGAATTTACAATGATAACGTAAAATACATTTGTGATCAAAAATTAGGCCCTGTTACGTCCTCATCCTTCAACTTTTCGGCATCAAACTCAACTGATTATTATATTATTCAACTACAAATGTCTCGTATGGCTCTAGCCTTGGCCTGAAAGCATTAAATACTTCGCTAAACCATGACACTCTTTTAAATATTACACATAAAAATTTATTAAATAATTATTAAAATTATTAGCTGGTTTATAATTTGTAGTTTCTAATAATCGTCTTAACCCATTTATAAAACTGGTTTTGAAGTTTTTCTTTCTTTTTTTTCTAAATCCCGACATCCGTAGTAATGGCTCGTTTGATTTTAATAAAGTATACATTTTTGTTGGTTTAAATACTAATATTCAACCTTTGGTACGTATACTTTTTAATTTCATTTTTGATTTATTAAGATTCCAAAATTTGGCATCATTATGGAACAACAAATTATAAACTTAATCTGAAATGAAATTAAAAAGTAGGGACATCAATGGTCTGAAATTAGTATTTAAATCAGAGGTATCCAATGGATCACTACTGCGGAGGGTGGAATAAAAAAGAAAAAACACCAAGATCAGTTTTTTTACAAATGGAACTTGAGGGTGCCTCTTAAAATCTTTAATAATCGTCCGATATAGTGCATATATATATATATATATATAATCTTTNTATAAGAACTAACCATATATATATGGAAAATGTTTTCTAAAGATGTTAGTCTGTTACAATAGTTATAATGAAACAATTACCAAATTTTACCACAATATCAAAATTTTAATACATATTATACAACAATATTTCATTATTAATTTTATCAAATTACTTATCAGAATGTTTCGGTAAATCTAACCACGTATTGTGTTCCCATAGTACCAAGAACATGGTAAATTTTACCATGTTTTGGTAATTTTGATCGAAATTTTTTTCTCAGTGTACGATAGATAGCCTTCGTTAATTATAAATACTACTAAGATATTCTAAAAAAAATTACGTTTCCTTAATCATTATTAAAATAAATATTAGACAGAAATAATAGTGTTTGTATTTCGATATTGTCTTGCTGTTTCATTCATTTTCAATGGTTAGAAAAGCCGTTGAATAGGAAAAACACCTGTAATGGTCATCAATACGCAGAGAAAGATTCTTGTCTGTCATTGACTTAAAATTAAAGTTATAATTGTATTTACCGGTAATATATTTATTAATTACTCATTTAACGGTATTTCTTAACCCTATTATTCTTTGCTATTTCTGCTGTTTTCAATTTTGATTATTAGTAAAATTAAGAGCTGGCAACTAAAGTTTAGTAACTAAATTTAACAACTAAATTTTAGAAATTACTCTTCTTTTATTAAATGATAGGGAAATAACAAGTTATTACTTATTATGCAGCATTCTGTGATAAAAAATTTTGTTACCGTTTTAAAATCCTCAAACGGTAAATAAGTTATAGTTAATTTATAATAAGTAATATACATGAAATTGTCTTAAGTTAACTTACGATATTAAATAATAAATAAAATGTGCTTGCTTAGAATTCCATAGCATTCATATTAAGAATCAACTTTTCCCACTATTGCGAAATAACCTTATGGGTAAAAACATTTAATGAGCTTTTGATATTGCCAAAAGTTAAATATAAACTTAAAAAAAGCAACTTTGTGGTTTGTGTATGCTATGGTAATTGAGCAAAATGATTTGGTTTCAATTTAATCTCAATCGAATCTCAACGAAATCTCCAGAACCAAATCTGTATTCCCACAAGAAAAACTCTTTGAATTGGATAATTTTTTAATTTGCTACAATATGTTTACCATAAAAAAAAATTATATTCGAGCAACCATGGGGGTTTGTGACTGAAGCGAGCAGAGATTATAATTCTTTACTGATAATATAAATTTTTAAAGTAGATGAATACAAACTTGCCTTAAAAGTTAATGCAATGCTCAATGCAAAATCAAATTGCCTAACCATGAAACGAGCTGTATAAAATGTTTTATCATTATTATTCATAAGAATGAATAAGCAACAATAAAAAGTTAAAAATCTTAAACTTTGAGCAGTATAATAAAATTGGAGTGGTCATAAAGATGGACAAACACGTAAATAAAAATTTTCATTGAAAAGATTCCGAAGAATCCCAAATGTTCTAATAACAATTGAGGGGCTTTTGATGTTTTTTAAGGTCATTCTGAGGAATTCAGGTATTTTTCGACTGCGCATGCGCTGGAAGATGCTCGCTGAATCGATGGAGGCGTAATGATTTTCTGATTCGAAGTTCCAGCTTTTCTGGCGGGAGCAGTTTTGGTAGGGAGATTCTGGAAATGGTATTCTTATAAATATTTATAATTGAGAAGTTGGTATTCAAAACCTTATCTACTTTTACAATGAATATCAATCTCTTATGTTAAAGACACCCATATTTCCTAATATGAATGAGAAAATTTAACATAAAATATGAAATTTTTATAAAATTTTTATAAGTGAGAAGTTGGCATTCAAAACATGTATTGTAGTTTTCATGATATGTCAAATTGGTCCATGAAAAACGCATGAACTCTAAGCGAAACATTAAAATTAAAGTTTTAAGGGGATATTATACAATTATACATTATACAATTCTGAGACGTAGTATTTACATATTAATTTTACCTAGTTCAGTAGAATAATCAATATTCTGTTGAATTCATAATACTTAACTATTCAATATTTTTTTTTTAAATATTCAAAAATAACAAACATGAAACGTTTGGCTTGCAGATGATTGCATTAAGCTCTAAAAACCTTAAAACAAGTTTTTATACAATGTTATGAATTTAATAATTCCTAAAATTTTATCTAATTTACTTGAAAATTTAGAAGAATTAGGAGAAATAAATTACAAATTTAAAAGAAACACATTACAAATGTAGTTTAGTTTTTTTTTTCAGTGAGAGAGTTTTGAGGGTGAGTTTTTCTATGAGTTTTGTTTTGTTAGGATTTGTAAAAGACATTGTTTTCCTACTTGTTAAGTGATTAAGCAAAAATGCATTAAGAATTCACAGAGACTGCTAATATCATTGATAGCATCATGTTGAATAAAGAATCATGTTGAATATAGAATCATGCTGGAACAGGACTATCTCATCCATGTGACAAGGATTCAAACATAACTAAATTTAAGGGTTGTTGTTAAAGTTTGAATTATCGCTATATTTAAAACAATCTTCTTTTTTGCTGCATTCGATTTTTTTTTATTCTAGCCTTTTGAAATCCTTGAAAGATTACATATGCTATGATTTATTAGGTGATCATTAAATTTAATAGGAAAAACAAATCTTGAAGAGAAATTGCAAATTGCACTGGAGTTTTACGCAAAAGTAAATCTTATCAAAAAAATTTTAAGTAGTTTCAGAAATTATTACTGTAATGTATATAAACTATATAATGACTGTCAAAGATTTTCGAAATAAAGATCCTGATAATGCTACTTTAATAATAATTATCAACCTTTTTTACCAACAAACAAAATAACAGTATTATTTAAAAAGTTATTGCTATGGTTTTTTATATAAATGCCCATTTCTTCTAAAGATCAGAGTTGGAAAACAATATTAAGCAGAATAAATCTTGTGTTTGGTGCTTTTATAAGTCAAATTGCATAATACTATTTAAAAATTTAAAAAGTATTATTTTACATTGATAAAATTTTGAAAATTGGTGAACTAAATGATGTAAAAAGTACAATTTATGCCTAATAAAATTTCAAATTATTATAAAATAAGAAAATTTCACGTTTAAAGTGCTCTTCTACAGTCAAGTTAAAAGAATAAAGAAATTTACATAAATTTTATACTTGAAATGAAGCTCTGAAATTTGTAATTTCTCAATAAATATTATGTGTCACCTAAAATTACATTAACATGTATCAAGTTCATATAATAATAATTAAAAAATAACACTAATTACGAATTAAATTTAAAAAAAACTTCTAAAATATTTTAATTTAATTTAAAAATAGGGCTTCCCAAATTAATGAAAGAAAAATTATGAGAAATAGCAAATAAAAATTATAAGAACTAACCAGTTAAATCTTTAAGAAATAATGAATAAAAAATGATGCTGATTTTTATTCAATTATTAGAGTGATTTAAGAAAAAGAAAACTCTAAGTTGGGTTGCATTCTATACAGTTTCCGTCTCATGAAAT